CTCCGACGGATGCTAAGCATGGAGTCGCATTCTTCATGCTCCTTCTCTACGTCATTAGTTGTCCACCGCGGCACATTTTCCAATCGCTTCCGGAGGAGCGCAAATAACCCTCGACGGGGAAGGCGATAGGCTGGCATGCGCGATACGTGGTCGAGCCAATGCGTGCGGTGTCGAACTGTTTGGAAGCATGGGGTGTTTGCTCCAGACACTCGCTCTCGGACTTCTGCGTTACTCACGTGATGCTGCCACCACACGCGAGCAATCCTGCGCAGATAACGATGGTCGAAAACCGACAATCGTTTTCTGTCTTCCGAGCGACTCAGTCAGGTCTCACAACCGTACAAGAGGAGCGCAAGGGCAGAGACAGCGTATACCCTGCCCTTGAGTTTAAGGCTGACGTCGCGATGACGCCATAAGTGTCTTAGTTTGATGAATGCAAGGCGGGCCTTAACGATCCGTTGTGAGACCTCATCTCCAATACAATCACCAGCTGTGATGTAACTGCCTAAATAAGTGAAGCAGTGGATTTGTTCCAGATCCTCACCAGCAATGGTGAGGGCCGGCACAGGCATCTATCAATTCTGAAGTAGTATTTGACATTTGCGTGGCGTGAAACACAGGTCATACTTAGATGCCTCCATCTCTAAGCGGTTCGAGCGCTCTGAATGGCTTGTGGATCGTCCCCGAGCAAAGCGATATCATCGGCGTAGTCCAAGTCCGCGACGCTGTCAGCTGGGAGAAGTTCAAGACCACAATTGTGAGGGCCCTCCAATGCTCGTTGGACGACATTTTCAGTGGCAAAGTTGAAGAGGGAAAGTGAGATGGGGCATCCTTGATGCACGCTGCTGGTGACAGCAAACGAAGCGGAAAGCGCGCCGTAAGCCCTGACTTTGTCCGACGTGTCTCTAGTGATCCTTCAAGATGCTTACAAACTTGTCGCGCACACTTTTCCTTAGTAGATAGTTCACAGACGTGACGGAGTTCAAGAAGTTGGCGGAGTGTGAAAATGTGGTCAGTATAACCTCAACCTGGACGGAAACCCGCTTGTTCCTCTCGGCAAATCCCTTCTCTAGTCGCTGAGAGCATGCGAAGTAGAACAAACACGAAAATCTTGGTGGTAACAGAGATCAACGAAATTCCGCGGTAATTGGCGCAATCCTCGCGGGAGCTTTTCTTGTGAATCGGGACCATGACCGACTCTCCCCATGCAATTGGGACTTTTTCGTCAGTTCGAATTCTCGTGAACAGTGATAGCATCTCGATGACAAATGCATTCTCATCATCTTTGAATAGAGCCACGAGTAGGCTGTCAAGACAGGTAGCTTTATGACGCTTCAAGGATTGTATTGCGCTACGGATCTCTGTTTCGGTAAGAGCATCTGTAGCAAAAGGCCATGCACCATCCTAGGGAAACGGAGGTGTCACAGTGGGCTGTGCTGAGCAGTTAAATTGGAAAATCTAGTTCTCTTCCCAGTGACCAATGCGCCTGTGCAGGTTGGTGATACTCGTGTCGTCTGACTCACCAATCGTCTGGCTGATAGCGTATGGATGACAACCAGTGGTCTTGATGAGGTAAAATGGACTGCGTTAGTTTCCAGCCGATGCCGCGGCTTCCATCTCAACAACGCGTTTTGACCACCAGGATTCACGGTCAGAGCGGAGGCTTGATTTCAGATGTTGTGAGATTGACCGACAAAGTTCATTGTGCTCCGCACCGAATGGCACAGCCCTTCCACGTTCAAGCAGTTCCGAAGATCTTGCCGAAATCCAGCTTCGAGTTGTGCAGCGAGTGAGTCCGCAGCTGCTCAAGCCGGCGGACAGCAGTGTTGATCAACATCCAGAGTCTGGGGTTGACCGAGAGTTTCGCGAAGCCTCAGTTGATACTGTGTTTTCACCGTTGTGTCCTCCAACTTGTGAGTGTTGAGTCGTGTTTGTTTGATCCTCTGTGAACCGCCGAAACGCATGCAAATTCTCGCACATACTAATGTATGATCGGTGTCAACACAAGTCAAACAAGATAATCGGCGATAGCGTACGCTGCCAAGCCACCTGCGATCAATTTGTGACCAGCGCTTTGTTGACCATGGTGGACGCCATGTGTCATAGTGACCTTCAGCGTGACGAAAGCTCCTACTGGAGAGGAAAAGTTGGTGGTCAACACAAAGACTGAGCGGTCTTTCTCCATTGTCACTGTGAACATCATTATACCCGTGCAGTCCACCAAGGTGACATTCACATGGCAGGAACCGACCAATACATGTGTTTAAGTCTCCCGCCATGACAACGATGTCTTTTTTTGGGCGCCCTTAGCTGCATCTCATGAAGCTGTTGATAGAACTCGTCCTTGACTGCATCCGAGCTGGAGTCAGTGGGCACGTAGGCGGAGATCACGGAAAGGGCACGCTTGTCTGCACGATGCCTGCTAACTACACGACCACGGAGCCTCACAGCTTCTCGGCTAGTTCATAGGAGCCTTTTAGTCAGTACGTGGCGAGGAGTTTATGCACCGGATCAAATAGTTTCGCGTGCCACCATGCTACGTTGTGATAAGGCGAATTGCTCATACACCTAGTCGGGCATAGCGGGTTGCCTGCCTTGTGTAACTTGGGAGCGCCTCTCATTCTGGATGTCTGCGTGCCAGCCTGTATTGCGACTCATTTATGTAATCATGTAGCAAGGTGATCTGTAGTTTCCTTGCCGCTTGCTTCTCCACCAAGATGCTTTCTTCCGGTATATTACCTCGCTGGAACTTCCACCTATCTCCCAGAATGGACTCCATCTTCGAAATCTGACAATCGTCACTGAGTGCAGATCTCATGTATTCAATAGACATAGACTCTCTGTTCACAAACATGCCTTTACGTGAGATGGTCGATCATTTAATTGATTTTATCCTGAGCCAGAATATGTCTGTGGGCCTGCCAGTGGATTATTTAAAGGATATGTTTCGATTGTGCACCGAGAACATACGGTTTGAGTTTGAGGGGACCGCATACAAACAGATCAACTGGCTCGCTATGGACAGCCCACTGGGACCAGTTTTGGCCGGATTGAGAGAAAGGCAAGCTGCTGCAGTATTAGTAAAGCGAAATTGTGCAGACGGTATGTGAATGATATTTTAGTCTTCACCAGCGGCGAACATTTCACGCGACTGCTGACCATCCTGAATTCCATTCACCCTAATCTATCGGTATCCCATGAAGTGGAACAAGACGTTTGCCTGCCGTTTTTGGATATACTCATTAGGAGACGGGCTGAAAGTACATTACAGCGCACTGTCCACCGTAACGTGACTTGGAGTGGACAGCACCGTCATTTCTCAAGCTTTGCCCCAGTCGCATACAAACGAGGCTTAGTGCAAACCCCCTTTTACCGAGCTAGACGTATCTGCAGCCCCCGAAACGTTAAAAGCTATAGTAGAAATTCTACGCAAGACCATGACTTCTAATGGGTATCGTGAGACGTTTATTCAGATACACAGCAGACCTCCCAGTTGAAAGGCATCAGTGCGGACGGCTGAGAATTAGAGTGTATTTGTTCTTGCCGTTCAAGGGGGACCATCTATCAAATGATCTCGGACGCAAGTTCCGGTCCGTCCTAACGTGCACCTACATGACCTCCCAGTCGCGACTCAGGCATACCACACGAGGACTTGTTCTTCATAACCGTCCGAGTATCTCCTCGGTTAGTTCGACCTCTCACGTTGTTTATCAGTTCACCTGCATTTGCGGTGATATTTACATAGGCAGAACTAACCGTCAGTTGACTCAGCGGGTAGCTGAACATTTGTCAAAGTGGTTTGGGTAAGTGAGAATGCAACAAAACGGGACGGATCGGAAGATTAATCGGAGTCCGGCATCGTCTATCATCAAATACCTCATGACAACCCGTCACCACGTGTACCCGCGTTCAAAGTGTCATTGTGCAACAAAAATCCGATAATGTTGGCAATTAGTGAGACGTTGCTAATTAAGGCCCATCAACCGGTCCCATGTGCACAGAAACTCTTGGTGCAATCAATTCGGTTGCCTGGGTCTTGACTGTGACATTTTGATAGGTGTTGCTTGTGTTTCCATGTGTATAAGCGGGTGTGTGTTTCTGCTTGTTATGTGTTTGCGACTGAAGAGAACAATCGAATTGTTGACATATCGCAACTTGTGTCTTCTCTCGCTTTGGCGAAATTTCTATGGTCTCCAGCGGCCGTGAAAGTCCAGGTTGCTGTCCCATCCGTAACAATGTGCACATGTTGTGGTTTGCTAGTTTGATCTGCATTCCAGATTGCAGCATCGAAGATGTCAGAATTCGGGGCTGGTAGCTGCCTTTTGAGGGCTTTGTGGTTTAGTTGACTGGTGGCGAGAGAACAGCTTCATCGGCAGAGGTAGGGTTGCTCTTATTTGAAGAATCATGTAACCATGGGGATGAGTGATTCAAGGTGGCATGTGTTTTTAAAGTTGATGTAGTCGTAAAACAGTGGTTCGTTAGATCGAGGGACAGCTCACTTGTGTGTATCGATGGTGCCGTGGCTCTAGTTGATGCCATAGCTGGTGTCCCATTTGTTTGCCAGCAACCTGATTCTGAGTCCGCATTCCTTACTCACTTTCTCGCTGTTCTCCTCCTGCATGTGAGCTCGTTAATCGTTCCTTCGCTTTAAGTTTATTCTAATGGCGCTCTTTGTTCCACACATTTTCTTAATATATTTTTAGCTGCCTCATTCTAGCCGATCACGTTTGATACACTTTCGCACGCAAATCCTTGTTACCTAACCCGAACCATGTCCTCTGTTTGTACGGTTACAAATTCCTGGTTTCACACATTTTTGCTTATACTGTTGCGATCTCTTGTTTCTTTCTGGCCCACACAACTCTGCCTCAAATTTTGTCACCTCTGTGACCCACTTTCTGATCTACGCACACCTTATCATTCTTTTGGTAGAATGCGCCACCTTTGATTCGTTTTCCTCCAAATCTGTGTTCCTTTCCATTTTTCCAACTTGTTTACAGAGAAATTCTCACAGACCTACTGCTTAATATCGCCAATGAGGCAGCTGTGCAAAATCTTCGCACTGTGTTTGTTACACGGGAGTCGCTAAAGGAGCGACATACCAGGCATGTCCACGGAACATTTGAAAAGGCGACCTCCAACTGGGACAATATCCACCTTTTGTAAGTCGCTTCCCTGTGGGATGCATTTTGATTTCTCTGCCGTCTCGTGCGAAGCGCATCCTACTTTTCTTAGTGACGATAGATCACTGCAACTCGCTGAAGAACGGAGAATTACACGTACCGATATTATCTAACTTTCTTTACTAAAAAAGCAGTTACTACGTAAAAATCCGCTCTTCTGCCCGACTTTGCTTCCTGTTATATAGCTCACTTCTGCACTGTCATGTTTACTCAAACGTAGACGCACTAATCTTTCTAGCTGGGTGTTGTATCCCAATGCGCACACTAGGCCCCTGCGCAAGCGAGGTCTTGCATCACTACCGGCCAAAACCAACTAACGAAAGTAGAACACGGCGCGGACACGCTCGAGACATTGTTAAACATAGTGCGTCAGATAAGGTACACGCGCATTGACCTTGAAATTGGTCCATCAATGAGGCTCATCCAATCATTTGCAGGCTGTGGTGTGTAGCGTGATAGACATGAGTGGAACTTGCGCTAGGAGCTACAATATCATCCCCTCCCTAAATGAGCGCATCAGTATGAGTGGCACTTGAGCTGCTACGCCCCCTGCTTTGGATCTCGTTTCTTGACATTGATTCTGCGTTCGGTTGAAGGGCTGAGTAAAGCTTTCTGACGTTAACTAGGCGGCCGTCTGCAAACTCCTACGTTCTTGGTCCTAATGTCCGAGTAATCCTGATGGGGCGCGATAATGCTGGCTGCCCTTTACGTGTCTGCCTTTCCTTTAACCGGACTAACGTTCCGGTACGCAACGGTATGGATTGCTTTTCGTAAGAGGAATGATAACGTCGGCGACGCTCCAGTTAGTGGGGATCGGTGTATTCCGTAGCCGAAATAGCATCTTTTCATGCGTAGCTTCTTGCCGAATATTTGCTCTACCGGAGTACGATTGATCGCTCTGTGGTTCGCCGTTCTGTGGGTAAACAGAGTCTTGACTACGGCAACTTCCCAATGCATGCCGGACAAACGTGCTGTCTGTGTACTTTCCTTCCTGTGTGCGTTCAGTCATTACGTTCGCAGCTGGATTGTACGAGACAGTTCGAACCTGTTTCACATCGTGAAGTTGTAGGTAATGTCTGAACTCGTAGTTTGTGAATTAAGGTCCGTTGTCCGTCCCAATTTCTTCGGGAAGCCCAAATCTAGCATTATCTAAACGATAAGTTGGATGGGTGCATCGCTCGACTTAAAGCTCTGGTCGGCGTTCTTACACGCATCGCAAGACCGGACACAAGTCTTTGCCATTCTAGTCATTTTCGGCCACCAAATGTGTTCTTGCAGTCGGCGCTTCGTTCGTACGATACCCGGATGTCCTTTGCATGCACATTGGATAATTTTTGACGTTACTCTCTGTGGAGTCACGAATTTCGATCCTCGCATGACGCAACCATCAGTGATCGTTAACTCGTGTCGTAAAACATAAAACACCCGTAGTTCACCACTGAGCTTCGTTTAGCGAGGCCAGTCTTGAAAGAGGTAGCAGAAAACGGTTTGTACATTTGGGTCACTTTGCTTAGCTTCTTGAAGCCCTTGCGGAGGAGATCTCAATTGAATGTGAAGCGGAAACCATGAGTTTTTTTTCGTCGTCCTCATTCTTATCCGAATCGTTCAATGGAAGACGTGATAGGCTATTTCCCTTATGGTTTTCGGAGCTAGGGCGGAATGTGATTTGAAAATCATAGTTCAGTAAACGCGCATACCAGCGGTTAATCCACATTGGCTTGTGACCATTGGTTCTTTGACTGAAGAGGGTAGTTAGAGCAGCGTGGTCTGTACGCAATGTAAACCTCCGACCAAACTGGAATAGGTGCCATTTTTCACAGGCCCAGACACAAGTGAGGGCCTCCCTTTCACCGGCGTAATATGAAACCACTGTAGGGGATAATTTTCTAGTTGCATATGCAATCACTTTCTACTGGATTCTGCATCCGCGACAGGACCGCTCCTAAACCGATGTTTGACGCATCCGTCGAGACGAATGTAGGTCGGTTTTCATCGAAAATGGTCAGCATTGCTGTAGAGACGAGGCGTCTTTTAATTTATTCGAAAGCAGGTTGCTGTTCAGAGCCCCAGTCGGTGTCATTTTCTTTTTTCAGCATGCTCAAAAGCTCCGCAAGGGTAGCAAAATCGGGCAAATAGCGTAAATTTTACGAGCATAGACCAAGCAAATGCTTAACCTTAGATGCATTCTCCGGTATGGGTGCTTCTGTGATGGCCCGAGTATTAGCGACACATGGTCGGATTCCACCGGATGATAAGATGTACCCAAGGAACTCGACTTCAGTAGCATAAAATGTTTACTTTTCAAGATTAAGCCGGAGATCTAGGCTCTCCAACCGGTGTAATACAGCGCGTAGCCTTGAGTCATGCTCTTCACTTGAAGGCCAAAAAATGCAAATATCATCCATGTAAGCGATTTGTCCCGGTAGATCTGCTAGTGAGTGATTCATGAACTTCTGCCAAGCTGCGGGAGCAGAACTGAGCTCCTTTGACAAAATTTCATTTTGGAACAGACCGCTCGATGTCAGAAAAGCCGTCAGTGGCTTCGACTCCTGTGTCAATGGCATGTGGAAAAGAGCCTTCTATAGGTCTACCTTTGCGAAAAGTCGTCCGCCAGTTATCTTGACTAGCAACTCCTCAACTGTGGGAAGAAGGAACTTTTCGACGACGATCTGACAACTAAACGCCTTCAAGTCATTGCATATGCGCACAGTACCGTCCTTCTTTAAGACCGTGACCATGGGAAGTACCCATTCGGAACAATGAATTGGCTCTACCAGATTTTTGGATACCATCTCCTCTATGACTTTCTTTACCATCGCACGTTTCGCCAACAGAATAGCACATTGCTGCGATATTGAAAACGGCTTAACGTTCTGTTTAAGGCATATTCCGTAAGCGGCAGATGGAATCCGGTCAATTGTATCAGTAAATAATTTAAGATATAAACCTTTAATCACTGTTGCATTGAGTGCCGTGATACGCATTCGAGTGATAGTTGGCGTTATGTTAAGAGCGACCATAGCATTTCGCCTCAGCAAGGCTGAGCTGTCTTCGGATGCCACGTACACAGCAACGTCGGCTCTGACCGACTATATATATATATATATATATATATATATATATATATATATATATATAAATCCACTATATATCCACGGGTGCGCACAGCGGCATGGGTGTAAGAGTCGAACTTGTACGAAGTGGGATGCAATGGAATGTCATGTAAGTCATTGTCATAAAGGCTATATGGAATGATTGTTATTGGCGATGCAGAATCTAGTTCCATCGCAACTGTCACAGTGGTGTGGAACATAACTGCACGAATGTCAGGGGAAGTAAGCTTGAGATCCATCAAGTATGATTGCCGATTGTCTAGCTGAAGTTTTCTAACTGCAAAAATATTTTCCGTGGTAAACGCACGTGGTTCAGTCGATGGTTGTTCAACTAGTGCTATGCGCCGGGAGCGACAGCACCAGGCGAAATCGCCCCCCTTACCACAGTTTTTGCAATCTACTACACACATCTACTACACATCTACTACACATTTGACAACCTGCTCTGTGTCGAGAGCTTCCGCATCGAAAACACAAAACAGTCACATTCTGAGATGGCATAGAATTCGTGCTCCGAAGCGTGCTGATCTCGAGTGATTCTTTAGTGGTGAACAGACGTGAGTGTTCAAGGGCAGTTGTTTTGAGCCTAGCGATCTCTATGGATCTATCCCAGGAAAGCTTTGAGGGGTCTTCCAAAAGTAGCGTTTCTCCCATGCGCTGATCCGTAATGCCGGTTATTAATAGTTATGTCAGCATAACCTCTTCTACTCTGTTCATTGGAATGCCTTAGTTATCACATGTTTTTACCGCACGCATCAAGCTGGAAACAAAGGTCGGGCGTCCCAAGATCCATCCAGAACGTATAATGCCTTTGTGAGGGTGTTCACTTTTTCTAGTTCCAGTGTATCAAAGTAATGCTCATTTTCGACTACGTGCTGGAGAAGCTTCAACTTTTGGGTCTCACTGTAAGTAGCGGTTGACCGTATTAAGTCCAAGTAATTGGTGCAATATGTGTTCCATTGAGCCCAGTCGCCCTCAGTAGGTTTGACATTTGAATCACACCAGAATGCGTCCAGAGGTGGAAGATTGAGTGCCATTATAGCAGTTCACAGCCGCGACACTTCTGCGCAAGCAGGGTCTTGAATTACTACGGGCCAAACCCACTAACGAAAGCAGAACGGGGCGGACATGCTCGGGACACTCTACTCACGTAAGTGAGTCAGGTATGGTACGTGCGTACTGACCTTGGTATTGATCCATCGATGACGCTCATCCAATCATTTGCAGGCTGTGGTGCGTAGCGTGACAGACATGAGTGGAAGTCGCGGCAGACGCTACAACACTGGGTGACAAACATCCACACCCACACACTCACACGTATTCATAGTACCCGACCTCCCATCGGTCGGCATTCTCCCACACTTGACAGCTTCACCTCTCTGCGGGCTCCTAGAGACCGAGAAACTGGCCTGCTTGTATACAAATGCTCAGGGACTTTCTAACAAACTGGCTGAACTGAAAGATCGCCAAGCTTCCGGCTCGTATGATGTCATTAGTATCACCCAGACATGGTTGCACACGGGAATGACGGACGCTGAAGTGTCGCTACCCGGCATGTCGTTGATCCGGAACGATAGGCTCACAAAAGGAGGAGGGGGTAATCCTGTACTACCGAAACGACTTACAGTGCGAAGCCGTGGAGGATTCAGATTCGCAGTTCCCCGACTCTCTTTGGTGCCGGTTGCAGTTAAAAGGTAGGGACGCTTGCCTTATTATCTTGGTGTACCGCGCCCCTAACTCAACACCCGAAACCGACTACCACCTAATGGCTGCTTTAAGGTGCAGTTTACAACCAAAGTACACTCACATTCTTATCATGGGTGATTTCAACGTACATTGTTTAGAAGCCCCTGCCACGACCGGAGA